CCAATTGGCCCATTTGAGATCGCCCTCCAAAGCTCTCAAATTTACGCCTCTGCCATCGTCTCCCTCAAGGTCTTCCTTCTCCGTCTCCTGCACTATCGCCAAGGAACCCCCTGTTCTCATGGCCGCCGGATCTGACCCGACCCTTTGGCAACGACCCGATTCGTTTGGTCGATTTGGCAAGTTTGGTGGGAAGTATGTCCCTGAAACCCTTATGCACGCTCTCTCCGAGCTCGAAACGGCTTTCTATGCTCTCGCCACCGACGATGATTTCCAGGTTTGTCCGCTCGAATTTCTTAGTTCTTTTTCTTCGTGATTACATTTTGCGTTGTGGGTCGTTGGGATTGTTGCGTTATCGATGGCAGAATGATAAAAAGTTTGGATCTTGTCGATACGAAATATGTAAATTCTGCAAATTTCTAGGGTACCTGGATGAAGTTGGTTAGATATGATGGACAATCTTACCTAATACAATGGGAAACAGAGGGAAAATGAATTAGGAATATCATGATTTGGTGTTCTAATTCGGTTTATTTGGTTTTGTGTCAATGAATCCTATTAGAGAGAGTTGGCAGGGATCTTGAAGGACTACGTGGGTAGAGAAAGCCCTCTGTATTTTGCAGAGAGGCTCACCGAGCATTACAGGCGTGAAAATGGGGAAGGGCCGCTTATATATTTGAAGAGAGAAGACCTGAATCACACAGGAGCTCACAAAATCAACAATGCTGTGGCTCAGGCGCTCCTCGCCAAGCGTTTGGGGAAGAAGAGGATTATCGCTGAGACTGGAGCGGGTCAACACGGTGTGGCTACAGCCACCGTGTGTGCCCGCTTCGGTCTACAGTGCATTATCTATATGGGTGCTCAGGATATGGAGAGACAAGCACTCAATGTGTTTAGGATGCGACTTCTCGGTGCCGAGGTGATGCTTAAGATTCATCTCATTCATTAATCATCTTTTCTTAAATGCGACAAGCAATCTTTCTGAACCTATTTCTTTTGGGTTCTGGTGTTGCAGGTGAGAGGTGTTCACTCTGGAACAGCGACATTGAAGGACGCGACATCCGAAGCGATAAGAGATTGGGTGACAAATGTTGAGACTACCCATTACATATTGGGATCTGTTGCGGGTCCTCATCCTTACCCGATGATGGTCAGAGACTTTCATGCGGTGATAGGTAAGGAAACAAGGAGGCAAGCATTGGAGAAATGGGGCGGTAAGCCGGATGTATTGGTGGCTTGTGTTGGTGGTGGTTCAAACGCGATGGGACTCTTCCATGAATTTGTGGATGACACAGAGGTCCGGATGATCGGGGTGGAAGCTGCGGGTTTCGGATTGGACAGCGGCAAACATGCTGCCACATTGACAAAGGGAGATGTCGGTGTTCTCCATGGAGCTATGAGTTACTTACTGCAAGATGATGATGGTCAAATCATTGAACCTCACTCCATCAGTGCAGGGTAAGAGATTCTCTATTTAGATCCATGAGCCATGATAATTAATAGGCAAGGATGTTGTAATGGGCCAACCTTGGCTCCGCCCAGCTCTACCGTATTGAGCCTAGCTCTGATTTAGCCTGACTCTAGTTTGAGCCGAATTCCAGGATTTAGACTCTACTCTGATTTGGCATTGAGGTTTAACCCAATTAATATAAAGGAAAGTGATGGTCTTGGCCCATCCATAGCTGGGGCTGGTTCACGTGCTTTTGCCCCATCACAACATCCTTAACCATAAGTTTGAATGCATATCATATAGTCTTATCCGGTTTAGCCATGGTTGCATGATCACGGTTTGCGTTTCTCTTACAGATTGGACTACCCTGGAGTCGGACCCGAGCACAGTTTCCTTAAAGACATGGGACGGGCTGAATACTTTAGTGTAACCGACGAAGAAGCATTGGAAGGTTTGTACCAATTTATAGTCTTTTGTTCTTTAATGCGAAAATCGATTTTTTTGTTTCCTAACTTGCCTTTTGCGGTTTACAGCGTTCAAGAGAGTGTCACGGTTAGAGGGAATAATCCCGGCACTCGAGACATCGCATGCACTGGCACACCTCGAGAAGCTGTGTCCGACGTTACCAGATGGGTCAAGAGTGGTCTTAAACTTTAGTGGCAGAGGAGATAAAGATGTTCAGACGGTTGCTAAGTATCTTGAAGTTTGAATTGAAAAAACCGTTTTGTTTTCTTTTGATTTTCAGACAGTGAAAACTTTTTGTACTTTGTAATGTGTTTGTACTTTTGCTTCTCCGGTCGGGACGTTTCCAAAAACCAGGAAAGGACTACCATGAGAACAAAATTTGAGTTATGTACTATCAATAAAAAATTTGTTCCATATTTTAAACCGGTTAAAATTGTTTAAAATTATATTTAAAATTCATCTTCTTCTGTTTTCATGTTCAGCTTGTGATTCCTTACAATTCAAGGAATAAATAAATAATGGTGATTTTAATGAATAAAAATAAATAAGCAAATTGCAAATTTCGATAGAGAGAATATTCCTTAAGTATATTCTTCACTGAAACTCTAGTCTCTGCCTCTTCTGAAATCCCAAGAGACAACATCTCTCTCTCACAAGTCTGAACCATTCCCAATGCCTCCATTTTATTCCCAAGCATCAACATTACTTATGTTCTGTCATAAAAGTTCATTACTGATAATTATTCTTTTTCTTTCGGAATTTTGTGTGCAGAATTAAGTATTCATATGCATGTGTAAACTAGAATAATAATCTTGAAATAAATTCATATACATGTAAAAACAAGAATAATCTTGAAA